GCGGCCTGGAGCGCGCCTCCCTCGCCGCCCCGGGTCTGGCGAGCCGGCGCCGGTCGAGCTAAGAGAGCCGCCGAGAGCACCGTCCGCCGCCGCCCCGGGAGCTGCTCCGGCCGCACCATGCGGGAGCTGGCCATCGAGATCGGGGTCCGAGCCCTGCTCTTCGGGGTCTTCGTGTAAGTAGTGGCGCGCCGCGGCCGGGGGCGCTCGGATGCGGGGACCCACGGATCGAGCGTCTCTGTGCCCCAACTTTGCGCCACCGCGTCCCTTCGGGGCCTGGATTCGAGGTGTCCTCCCCGCCCAGTGCCCGGGATGTGTCCTACGGGACCCTCCTGGTCCCCTTTCTGGGACCCTGGTCGCGGAGGGACCCGCGTAAGCCGGTCTAAGGCTCACCCCGCCACCCCCATCGCGCCAGGGAGCGGGACCGGCCGCCACTTGGGTCCCCTCGTCTGCTCCGGTCGCCGGCTGCGCACCAACTGCCCGGGGAATCGGGGCTGCTCCCCTGGAAGCGGGCGCGCAACCTCGCTCGCGCCCTCGGGAAGTTTCTCGTTGGGTGCGATCTTCTGAGCCCGACGTTTGTAGTCCTTCCTCCTGGCCTTTCTCCCATCGCCCCTCGTCGTGCCCGGGGCCGGGCTCCATCTCCTTCCGTGTCCCTGGCTTTGGTGCCCCAGTGTTCAGGGGAGCGTTTTCCAAGGAGACGTTGGCGGTAGTTCTCCGGCTGGAAAACTGTTGCTGCGGAGGCTCGGGAAGTCCGGGGCCGCAGCCCGAGGTACGGGCTACATACGCCCGGAGCTCAGTGCGGGCGGGGCCTCTTGGGGACAGTAGCGAAATGCCTGGTGGCCCCGAGGGTCTGGTACCTGGAAATAGCGATCTTGGAAAGAGGAGGGGGTCCAGCGCAGGCTCAGAGATGTCTGAACCCCAGGGCGCCCGGGGGACCCGCTACCCACCGGCCTCCCGGGCCCAAGCGGCAGGAAACTGTCGTGCCTCTGCCTTTCAGATGCAAACCCTGAACACACCGCGGCTCAGACCCACTCCACCGTCCCTTTGATCGCTTGTCACGAAGGCGCCACACCTGCACTTGACCCTACATGAGCTGGTCAGGTTCTCCTTTCCCCTTTGCCCATGGCTGTTTTCTGACACGTTTTAAATATTGAAGTTGCACGAACTTTCTGGACTTGTTGGAAAAGCCCATGCAGCCATTCCAAACAGGAGGCCCTCGCTGGATTCCTACCCCAATCTGGAGTCACTGATGCAGGTGGGAGGCTGTGAGTTGACTTCTGTTCCAGCAGCCCAGGGTAGACACATGGAAAGAAAGACCCTTTCTTGCTAAATTCATCCAGAGTATTTATTCACACCATCATAAAGGGCGGTGAGTTCCCCCAGATGCAGGCAAGCCCCCTCTCCCAGCTTCAGACCAAACACTGCTGTTATTCAGTGGGAAGGAGGAATGAGAACTTCAGTTGGGTTTTGATGCATTTGGGAAAACAAAAGAAACAATTTTCCCTTCTCTTACTCGATTTTTCTACCTTTGGAATATACGTTAAAACTAGTATAGCCGTGTGATCAGATGGGGACAGTTTCCAGTGGGCAGATAGGCTAAATCCCATTAAATTATTATGTGATAGAAATTATAAAACAGTGTTCAGTGCACGGTAGGATTTTAACATTTGTTTGGTGAATGTGTGTGTGAGTAATGCTGAAATAAAGTGAGGTAGGCTTGTAGGCTGCCTGGTTTGATTGCTGCTGGGAATTATCAGATTAAAAAAAAGGGCCCAAGGGTAAGCAAATATTTATATTGTTTTCAGATGTCCCTTCACATATCCCAAAACATTTATGAGCCGTTTACAAATATATGATGGTCTGTGCAGTGGATTTGAAAATGCGATAATTACTGTTTTACGTGCTTTTTGCTTCCTCAAAGAATGTTATGTAAAAATCAGACAGGCAGTTTATATTCTTTTTTCCAAACTTCCTCTTTTATTAATTAGGGGGATCTGCTCTCACCCAAAGGAAAACATTTGGGCACTGATGGTGTTTTTGGTTGATTCCCTGATTTCATATCAATTGGACATTTTTTTTTTTTAAGATTTTATTTATTTGACAGAGAGAGACACAGCGAGAGAGGGAACACAAGCAGGGGGAGTGGGAGAGGGAGAAGCAGGCTTCCCGCGGAGCAGGGAGCCCGATGCGGGGCTCGATCCCAGGACCCTGGGATCATGACCTGAGCCGAAGGCAGATGCTTAACGACTGAGCCACCGAGGCGCCCTTCAATTGGACATATTAACAGTGTGTCCAACGTGTGGCTCTTTGACCCGCAAAGACCAGCTTTGGTATCGCTGGGAGACCCCCTGGGTGTGAATCTTGGATGTTCAGATGAGGTTATCATCAAGCAGATAACCACTTCCGGAAGGACCGGCTGGGCGCCCACAGATACAGATGACCCTTTGTTTTCTTAGATAAGCTTCTGGTGAGATGCCAGAGGCTGACTTTCGGGGGAAGTTTTATTCTTCCTTTCGCCGGTGCTTGTCTGATGGCAAGATTCGGTGGTTCGTACCCCCTCTGCTCCTGAAGGTGGTGGTCTCAGTAGCAGGGCCTCACCTGAGTAGGTTGAGAAATTCCCTCTGGGCAAGCTGAATCTACTTTCGTGGCTGCTGTGAAATCCATCTTCTGCTGCTCCTTGGTGTATATACCCTCTTTCTCAGGATAAGAGAATAATCTTTTTTCGGGGAAGATACCTTGCTTCTTTGCCAACTTGTGCCTCTGGGGGAATATCACCTGTGCACGCACTTGTTCTTGGATTATATTTGCTCTGTGAGAGAGCAGGATCCCACCGCCTGATGCCCACCTGCTCCTGGGAGTTTGAAGTTAGCACTAATGAAATGCGCCTTTGGACCCTTAGGTCGTAGGTTAGATGTTACATGGTTATATGCTTTTCCTTTCTCCTTAGGGGACCAGTTCTCTGTCTCTAGACCAGGTTTAGTGCTGAGGTTTGGTGATTCAGGATCCCAAGAGAATGCTCTCCAGGAAACCCCCGTAAGATCATCCAAGAGGTGCGCAGGGCCTTTTGGGCAGCCCTGCTTAAGAAATTCAGACCACCTGGAAGAAAATCAGTAACAGGTAATGCAAATCAGGGCTGGCACGGAAAGCTTAACCTAACAGGAAATAAATTGGTTAGAGGACCCCAGCGTTTAGGAAAAATCAAAATACAACGTGTGGCCTTGAGGCTGCATTTAGTGCTCGGAAGCTGGCCTGGAGGCCCCTTTGCTCTTACTTGTGGACCATGGGCAAGCAGAGAGAAGGAGCGCCAGTGAGTTGCCTCTGTCCTGCTGCCACCCAAGACTCCGACACAGACCCCGTGAGCGTTTGTGGACAGGCGAAGCCAGCACTGGACCTTGATGAGCAAGCACAGTGTGGACACAAGGTGGTCAGTCAACAGCCCCGAAGGCAGGTAGTGTATTTGGTGAATGTGCGTGTGAGTAATGCTGAAATAAAGTGAGGTAGGCTTGTAGGCTGCCTGGTTTGATTGCTCCTGGGAATCATCAGATTAAAAAAAGGGCCCAGGGGTATGCAAATATTTATATTGTTTTTAGATTTCCCTTCACATATCCCCCAAAACATTTATGAGCTGTTTTATACAACTAGTAGTAGATTACCTCCCCTTGTACTACCGTACGTGCCGTTTATTGAAGGTTTATTATGTGCCAGGCAGTCATGAAGACCATCACGCATACCATTTAAGCCTTGTACACACCTGACGGCAACTGCATGCATGCAGTGGGGCTCATGCATGAAGAGGCTGAAGCACAGACAGATTAAGGAACCGCCCCAGTCACAGAGCTAAGAAGGGCAGCTCTGAGATCTAAATCTAGATGCTCCTTCTGCGTCATCTGGACTCTCAGTCACCTCGCTATACTGCTTCAGAAAAAATAACAGCCGGCGTGGGGCACTCGGGTTTACTGTGCAAAAGGCACTCCATGGGATTTCTCTTGTCTCGTCTCACTTGAGATGTTCTCCCCACTTTACAAAGAAACCAAGGTTTAGAAAGGGTAAGTAGCTTGCCTGGAGATGCTCAGCTAGCAGGAGGTATAGTCTGGACCCGAACAGGAGGTTGACCCCCTGTCCCCAGGCTGCCAGCCGCTGAGATAGAATGTGTCTAGCACCAGGCTTCCGGAAACTAGAGCAAAAGTGACCGCGTCCTAGAAGCCATCCCCTTCCGTGACCCGTTGTCTCCAGAGAAGCAAGTGAACGGCATGGAATGATGTGTGGGAGGGGCTGTCATTCTGGTTCTCACATCGGGCTCTTAGGGTGACATTTCAAAGGGGGAGGGGTGGTGGTTGAGGTTCCCATTCTCTAAGAGAATGGAATTTAGGACGTGTTACAGATTTTGAAGGGTCTTCCTTAGGTCTCTGGAGCCCAGAGGGTGAGATGTGGAGAGAAAATTGCAGGTCAGAACCTAAATGGTAGTATTAAAGAACGGGTGGCCGATACGCTCGTGCACCTATTGGCCCTTGCCTCCAGGACATCAGTTTGTCTGGAAAACCCTTTATTTCTAGCCGTGCAGAAAGGGCTCTGGAGATAGGACAACCATCAGAAATGCTGATGGTGGGGGAAGGTGATCTCCCTCTTTCACCCATGAACCTGGGTTCCCTGGGGTCCTCAGTCCCTCCCTCCCTCCTTCTCTGTCCCCTCTGGGGTTCCGGGGGGCCCCGTGTCTGGGATGTCCCTCTAGGAGCTGTGGGGCTGCTCGGGACACCGGGTTGCTCAGGTAGTGAATGGTGTCTGCCTCAACTCAGATCAGTCCTGCATCCTTCTTGGAGCACTTCCTGTGCTGGGGGCCTGTGCCTGCTGCTGGGGATGTTTGAAGAAGGAAGGCTGGCGGGGGGTGGGGCGGGCTCCGGAGAGCTCACAGGTTGGCTGAGCGAGCACACAGTAGACTGCTGTTATTTTCCCCAGTGTAATCACTGGCTTTGAAAGTTTTGCCTTCAAACATTTTTATCATTCATCCAGTTGACAGATGGATGCTTCTTTGGCCTCTTCTGGGGGCAGACACTTGTGCTGGCTGTTTTCCTTCGCCTTCATGGGTACACTTTGGTTGGTATGATTCCAAACAGACCCAGGGAAACTTGGCACTTTGGCCAGTCCAGGTGATTTGCTTGAGGGCACTGGCTGTCAGGTA